GCAGCTTTTTGTCATCATGCAATAACAATAAGACGGCATTGAAGTTGCATTGAACTGCGTCTTTTAGATAAGTTACACACTACAGTTAGTGAGAAACATGAGCTGTAAATGAATAAAACTTATATATTATGTTATTCTAACTCTGTATTAGTTGATTCCTGTATGTTGTTCTACAGTCTCGGTGCTGAGGCTCAGATTAAACCTCTTAAATTCATAACAGCCCCGGCTCACGCGGCACTAACGAGGATTAAAGGAGCAGCTTTTCATCAACAGGGACGACGTTGACACCGTTGGCATTTAGTTCGTTTTCACAGTTCCTCTGCTTACAGACCTCCTCCAGCCCGCATGTGCCTGACTGACCTCCTCTCTATTCAACCCTCCTCTAATTAATTGCAACACTCCAGTGAAAAGGCAGCTCATAATCTGGTGAACAATGGCCGACAAATAGAGCAGGGAGCTCCTTCACGCCGCCAGCAGCCGCCGCCTCCAGCGGCTTGCTGCCAGCTGCAGCGGCAACTTTCAACCATCAGCTCTTCTTACGGAGCGCCGGAGGACTCGTTTCCCCTCCCTCCTCCCAAAGAAAACAGTCACTAAAGTCTCATTTGTTGCCACTTCTCCATGGCGGGCGTGGCGTTGGATGGAGCCCTTGTGCGTGGATAAAAGGATTATGAGGGCTTAATTGAGTGTGCTAATTGATGGGACAGTGAATGGGGCTGAATGGAGCCGAGGGGCAGATGTGGTGTGAAACCCCTGGTTCTTTCTAAAGAATACAAATCAGCAGCAGAGAGATCTATTCTCCGCTCTCTATAACACTCAATTATCCCTTTCACACGGCGAGCAGGGGGCCGAGCGAACAGATGGTTTCCACACTGAGAGCTGTATGGAGGCCATCACTGCCTCTCCGGGCACCTTTTCTTCAGGAGCGATGGGCTTTTTATTGGCTATTCATGACGGCAGGGTCTCGGCGGGAACAATGGACGACTAGAATCGGAGAGAGAACGGAGGTTTGGGTTCGATCCCGGCGAGGCGTCGGTTACGCTTGAAACTGATGAGAAAGGAGAAAGAGAGGCGTGTTCACCTGGGGAGGAGGCGAAGAGTCGGCGCACCGTCTGTCGATGGTCGTTTCAAGTCGAGAACAATGATATCCTTCATCTCCAATAAAACCCATCCTGAGAGAGCAACGGTTCCACCTGAGAGGATCTAGAGTCCGCTGTGGATCTGTTAAAACCTCCGCACTATTCTAAATGTGCATCAATGAACCACACAAGACTTCCTTGCCGTCGTAATGCCGTCCGCAGGCTTTAATTAACAACAGGTCAAAAAAATCTGACTTGATAAAGAGGGATCGAGCCATCCCTACTGGATAGTATGGAAGCCCATTTTAAACAATGTGAATTCTGTAAATTATTATGATGGAAACTTTCTAAATATATTGACGTAATTAGTGATTATTCAGAGAAAGTTTATCGTTAAAATGACTTAAAGAATCTTTTTTTCAATCACATTGGCAGAAACAGGCTTCCATAGAGAGCAGCAGCTTCAGAGATATTTCAGCCTGACGTCGGGTTTCTCTGTTGATTCTGTTTCAGCTGATTTGTTCTGAATCGACCTTTAACCTGATGGATTCTGGGAAGTCTTGGTTGGGAAATGTTTGGAAAAAGGGCTTCGAATGCTCACAAATACGGCAAACTTCTACCAATGTATCAAACTCAGTGACGTCAGTCAGAAAACGTCTTTTCCTTTTAATAAAATTCTTTCTTTTCTCTTCTTTCAGAAATTCTCTCCAGTCCTGAAACAACTGATCCTAAATCAGCTTTAACTCTTTGTCTAATTATTACTTTTATTAAATGATACAAGAAGATCCTCAAGAACTGCTGATACCACCTTAAAAAGTGGATGATCAACACACACACACACACTCACACACACTCACTCACTCTCTCACACACACACACACACACACACACACACTCTCTCACACACACACACACACACACACACACACACACACACACACACACTCTTTTATCACTCTCTGAACAGCAGCGACACAAAGAGAAGTAGAGGGTGATGGACTGGCTCGGGGGGTGTTTCGGGGGTTGAATGGGTTGTATTAGCTCATGAATATAAGGCCCTGTATTATTGCCCCCCCATCCCTATATTATTGCCCCCCATGTGTGGGCCCCCACCTCAACCTCCATTGTTGCACAGAGAGGATTGTGGGATTGTGGGGCGAGCTGACAGGATGAATGCCACCTGTCAGAGAGAGAGAGAGAGAGAGAGAGAGAGAGAGAGAGGAAGAGAGACAGAGAGAGGAAGAGAGACAGAGACAGAGAGAGAGAGAGAGAGAGAGAGAGAGAGAGAGAGAGAGAGAGGAAGAGAGACAGAGACAGAGAGACAGAGAGACAAAGTCCTCAGAACCATTCTGACCCCTTTCTATCAGAACCAGCATTAACTGTTTCAGCAGTTTGAGCTACAGTAGCTCGTCTGTTGGATCGGACCACACGGGCCAGCCTTCACTCCCCACCTGCATCAATGAGCCTCGGCCCCCCATGACCCTGTCTCTGGTTCTGTTCCTTCCTTGGACCACTTTTGATAGGTACTGACCTCTGCAGACCGGGACCCCCCCACAAGAGCTGCAGGTTGGAAGATGTTCTGATCCAGTCGTCCATCACAATGTGATGAGTGGCTCGGATCCTCAAGCTGCCCATTGTTCCTGCTTCTAACACATCAACTCTGAGGACAAAATGTTCACTGTCTGCCTGATATACCCCCCAACTGACAGGAGCCCTGATATACCCCCCCCAGACAGGAGCCCTGATACAGGGCTGATCTGTATGTATACGAATATTTGGTTGACATCTTTTGGGCGGTGAATTTAAACTCTTTAAAAATGTCTTAAAAAAATTAATCTTGTTCAAACTTTTTGTTCCAGAATCATAAATAAACTATATATTATATTAACTTTAGACTTCCCCTTGAAATCAATGAAACGAGGAGTAGATACCACGTTTGTCCACAGGGGGTCGCCAGAATCAACACAGACTGAAGGTTCCTTGTAGCAGCTTTATAAAGATCTAAATATTTCTGAACATTGTATTTCTTTAGAAAGCAGCAGAATCAGAAACATCATTAATCACACGTCGTCTGTTTGTCCCGCTGACTCGTCGGACAGAAGACGTTTCTATTGTTGTCGTTTATGTCCTAACAGACGGAACAACCCTTGTTTTAAAGGCTCCTTTTCTATTTCTGTCTGTTTACTTGTTTTACTGTGAAAATGTGGCTTCCTGTCTGTGAGCATTACAGGCCACCGTACAGAGTCCAGCTGCTGCTTCTGTATTTTCTGCTCAAGCGTTTGTGGGTTGTTGTTTGTTTGTTTGTTGTCTGTGGCCACTGTGTCACACTCTCCTCTGCTGCTGTGTCAATTTTAAAGTTTAGTTTAATAAAACCAGATAAGTTCATTTAATTTAAAAATATGTTGAAACTGATAACATTAAAGTAAACTCAAATTTGTCATTTAAAAATAATTCTTGATCTAATAACTTTAGTCATTTTAAGTGTCACTGATGTAATTTAGATATTTTTATTTGTTCAGTAAAAAACAAACGAGTTAAAGTACTGAATCATCAGGACAATCAGGAATGTTTTTTAACTTTTGTGTAACTCTTTTCATTGTGAAGTCTAAAAAATGAGTTAGTAAAATAACGTATAAATCTGTGATTGTTAATAAAATAAAAACATAATACAGAGAATGGTATTTAAAAATCTATTATATATAATCTAATAACACAAACGTCCTGCAGTTATTGAGTTCACTGTTCAGTTGATCAGCTGTAGAATGTCAGTTAACTCAATGAGAGAAAAAGGTTGATATAGATCATAAACTCTGTTACCCTCCAATAAATAATACCAAATACACATCGAATAAAGTTGGTTTCTGTCATTTTGAGCAGTTTTTAGCATCACTCTGAAATATGTTCTTTGTATTTATTAATGTGTATTATTATTGAGGGATGAATGATGAACATTTGGCTCTCTGCTCCACATTTAATGTTCTACAAACGTTCACAGCTTGTTCTGAGCTGCTTAAATAAAATGTGATGATGTTAATGTTGTATGTTTGTCTTATTGCTCAGAAACAGTCTTATGTTATTAGACTAACGTCGTCTATCACATCCTGTAGCTCCCTCTGCTGGTCGGTGAACCCTCCTGCACCGTTTATCTCTACAGAGCAGTTTCTCAAACGGGATAAAACAGAAATTATAAGTTCAGTTAAAAGTGTAAATATAAATCCAGTAAACCACATTTTATATTTAATGTTCTTATTTCCACTGCAGCTGCCTCCCTGCCACTGAGAATGACAAAGATCCTCAGTGATTGGGGATGAAGATTTTACTGGTACCATTTTAGATCCTGCTTATCGGTTTGAGTCTTGGTCAATTCACTTATTGATTCCTGATCGATTTTCTGTTTGGAAAAAACATATTTCTACACATTTTCAACCTCAACGCGGCATGACATAACAAACATGACAGCATTGATAGAATAAGCTCGGTAGCACACGAATCAGATCGGACCATTTGGAACCGGTTCTCGATTCCCATCTTCTCTCTGTGAGACAAACTCGTGTTTCTCCGTAAACTGTGAGTAACTCAAGAAGACGCAGCTCAATGCAACTTCAACGCCGTCTTAGTGTTACTGCGGGATTCCAAACTGTTTGCAGTGAATTCAGTGACAGATTCCAAACATTTAGAAAGAATTTCAGTGTTTTTCTTAATAAATCTGACAGCAACATCTCAAGAGTGAGGAATAAAGCTGCAGATTAACACTAACTTGCTCTGCATTGTGGGTAATATAGCTCTGACGAGCCGACTCAAGTAAAGTAGAAAGAGTTTGGAAACATTCAGAGCTTTCCGCTCACTGAGGGATTATATTGTTTACCTCATTATTTGACACTTTGGCCTCATTTAATATCAGTGTGACATTAAACACACGACGGAAACTGAATAAAAGGTTTATTAAAAACATAAATCAGTGTTTCTGAAGAGGTTTCCTGTACAGACGGACATTAATTAACCTGCAAGGAAACAGCGACCGTCAGTCTTTCCTCCAGACCACATTTACATTATCTTCACACACAGCAGGTCTCACTGACGGTGTGTTCATGGACTCTCCTACATTTCATTTGCTGAAACAAGTTCCAGTCTTACGTGAGGACAACTGAGCGAACGCCGTCCCTCCTGGAGAAAAGGCTGTAAGCAGCTCTTGAGGTGAGATTCTTCGTCCTGTTAAACAACCAACACTCGAACCACAATGATGCTTCAGAACATTTCAATGTCGGGATCCGAGCATCAGCGAACACACCACAGATGAAGTCAGTCCTTCATCCAGCTTCATAAAGTCAAACAGCTCCACCAGCAGGCTGAGGCGGGTCAGTGTGGCCCCTGAACGCCTCACGCAGCCTTCTGGTTCTGCAGCTGTTTGGGCAGCTTCCTGCGGTCCTTCCCGGCGTTCCTCTTCCTCTTCTTGCTCAGGAAGTTCTCCAGTTTCCCGCTCTTCTTCAGCTCCTGGTATTTCTCAGCCAGCTGCAGCTTCTTCTTGTCGGCTGCGAAACAACAACGAAGGAGAGTTAGAATCACAATCGACACGCAGATAGACAGGCGGTCTGAGGGGACAGACAGACAGGCAGGCGGTCTGAGCGGACAGACAGACAGGCGGTCTGAGGGGACAGACAGACAGGCAGGCGGTCTGAGGGGACAGACAGACAGGCAGGCGGTCGGACTTACAGCTCTTGAGGAAGAACGGTCGTGCCCCCTGATTGGCTAGCTCCCTCTGCTGCCTCTTGAACTGCAGCTCTCTCTCTCTCTGCTGCTCTCGGTTCTTCCTCGCTCGCTCCTGGTTCTCCTGCAAGAGGTCAAAGTTCACACATTTAAAACTTTCACCGTCGTCGGACCTCGACCGGAGCGTCCCAGGAGGTGTCGGTTATATCGGACTCACCATCCTCTTCAGCAGGAACTGCAGCTTCTCCTTCCTCTCGTTGCCCTTCTTCGTCTTCTTCAGCTGCTTCTGGACGACCTGCAGACAAACAGAACATCTTCAGTCCAAAGAGAACCGCTCCCACCACAGCGTCCAGTTCTTACAGGAAGCTGAGAGGTTCAGGTTCTGGGTGTAACCCGTCCCCCCCCCTCACCTCTTTCTCTCTCTGTCTGATGTCGTCGATGAACTTGTACGTCTTCTCGAAGATCTCGGGTTTGTATTCTCCGGACAGGTCGTCAAATCGAGGATCTCTCAGCGTCTGAGTGAGCAAAGCAGAGTCACTGACAACTATCTGGATCAGAACCCGGACTCGCTGGGATCCGCGGGTCTCGTTCACTCACCGGTTTCCTGACGGCGACGACCTGACGGAGGAACGGCGCCGGTCTCTTGGCAGAAATCTCCATGGGCCTGAAAGAGACAAACAACAGGCTGTAAACGCCGACGGCGAGCGGAGGTCGTCTGCGGTTACAGGCCGAGACCGCCCACCTGTTCTTGTTCAGGCGTTTCTTCCTGCGCGCCCCGCCGCTCTTCCCGCCGCCGTACGCCACCTCGTTGTACACTTTGGTTCCCACTTTGTTCTGCAGCTTCAGGATCTCCTCGAAGGACATGTTGGAGAGTTCTGGCGAGGAAGGACAGAGAGGGACGTAAAGATGGCCGACGACAGCGGAGCTCGGCTGATAAAGACGTTTAAAGACAACTCACCGCTTTTAATGTCTTCTCTTGTCTGGATCTCCCCGCTACACCCAGCCTCCTGTGGCTCTTCATCATCATCATCATCATCATCGTCGTCAGAGGCTGCACTGACTCCATCCTCCTCCTCCTCTTCACCACCATCCTCCTCCTCCTCGCCAGCATCTGATCCCTCCTCGTCTTCCTCACCACCATCAGAACCGTCCTCGTCATCGTCACTGCAGTCTTCCTCGTGGTACTGCTCTCCCTCCTCCACTCCTCCTCTCTCAGTCAGCAGGGCGAAGTTCTTCTCCACGTCAGAGTCTTCGTCGTCGCTGCTGCTCGCCGCCGCCATGTGTTTCTTCTTCATGGCCGCCAGCTCCGTCCGCTGCTTCCCTTTCCCCGTCATGTCGGCGGTTGTGGAGGATTCGGACGGCAGCTCCGTCCGCTGCTTCCCTTTCCCCGTCATGTCGGCGGTTGTGGAGGATTCGGACGGCTGTGGGGACGAAGGAGGAGCCGTTAACCCTCAACGCTCGTAAAACCTAAGAACAAACACTTGTGATGACTCAAACGCTGCAGTTAGAGGAGACAGACAGACAGACAGTGCACACAGTGTGGAGTTTCTGCCACCAGAGGGCGCTCACATCCAATCAATAAGAAAATATAAAGTGTGATGAGGAGGTGAAGCAGCGTGGGATCATGGGAGTTGTTGTCTTCACCACCATTGGCGTCATTGCAGTCAGCTTCTCCCGGTTAGGATTCCTTCAGTGTTCATGGTTCAGGAGGTTTCTACCGGGAGCCCAATGATCCACAGAGGTCTCCTCCTCTCCAACACAAACAGACCCGCTGATAACACTAAACAACTAATAAAGTCCCAAAAAAAAACCACCTTAAACACACTGAATAAAGCAGTTCCACCTTAACAATCACTGAATAGAGCAGTTCCACCTTAAACACACTGAATAAAGCAGTTCCACCTTAAACACACTGAATAGAGCAGTTCCACCTTAACAATCACTGCTTCTCCCACGCTGTTGGACAGACAGAGGACGTCCCGGAGGGGCTGCGAGCCGAGCTGCTGCTAACGTTAGCTCAGCTTGTGATCCAGCATTGTAGCATACAGAGTCAGAGTGAACTTTAGTCAGTCTGACGTTGGGAGGGAAGGAACATCCAGACCCTGTAGTAGCCACCGTTAGTGGTTGATACGAGCAGGTTTCACATTTTTAAGGTGAAGGAATATTAATTCAAGAGTTGTTATTTCTTTAAAACGACAAGGAAAGTCTTTGGTTGGGTAAAACTCTAGTGTTCAGACATTTTAATGGGAAACCCTATTGCTTTAAGGATGTATATGATAATGAATAACTAGTTCTGGGACAGCTGTGTGTATATGTGCAGTATATATGTACAGTAAATACATACAGTATATATACAGTATGGCCACAGCTTCGGTCACATTCAGAGCTTCTGATGTGTTCCAGTATCACTTACAGGTTGATCGTGGTTTAACCCAGACTGAGGTTCTCTGGTCTCCTCCAGGTCACCACTGTCATCAGTCTCAGGTTCTGAGGACTGCGCCGTCTCTTTGTGAGAATCTGGATTTAAGTTTAAAGTGTCTGTCCCTCCGCTCTCTTCATTCTGGCTCTGATGAAGCTGTGAGGACTGAGGTTTCTCTTCATCCTCGTCGTCAGTCTTCAGAGGGACCGGATCCCTATCGGCCTCCTCCGGCCCTCGAAGCCGCTCTCCCCCCCCGGCCCAGAGATCCTGCTGTTCCTCTTCACTGTGTGGCAGCTCTGGTGGTCCACTTCCAGTCTGGGTCTCCTGGACCCGACTGGGGCTCCACTGCTGCTGCTCAGGGGGATCCCGTCCTCTGCTCCCCAACAGATGCTGGATGTCTGGAGAATAAAGAAAGACAGACAATTTACAAAACTGTGATTCATTCCTCAGAGGCCACCAGACTCCCTTGAAAAATCTGTCATTTTACCGCACAGAATAGACGAGTTTCTGGTCTACGAGCCGCCTCGGTCTGCACCAGGCAACGTCAGTTTGGATCAGAAGAACTTATTAAAACACCAAAGTCACAGGAAAACAGAAACAAACTGACTGACGGAGGCAGCAGTGAACCTGGGGCTCCTGTACTCTGTGAGGCTAAATGACTGCTTTTCTTAATGGAGTCTGGTGGAGCGATAAAGGGAGCTAAAGTGGTGGAAACATCCAAAGTGTTCACGTAAACTTTTCTATTAAAAAGCATTTCATAAATAAATAGATCCATAAAGTGTTTGTGACTGATAATCAATGTGTAACAAACTGAACACACCTGCTCTGTGTAAGCAGACTCTGGGGTTGAGCGCAGCGTCCAGTAGTGTCAGTCTGTGTTGTTGTTGTTGTTGTTGTTGTTGCTGTAGCGTCAGTCTGTGGTGTTGTTGTTGTTGTTGTTGTTGTTGTTCCTGTAGTGTCAGTCTGTGGGTTGTTGTTGTTGTTGTTGTTGTTGTTGTTGTTGCTGTAGCGTCCTCTCACACAGCTCCAGGATCTCCTCAGCAGCAGCACTCAGGCGCTGGCTGATGAACACTCGCAGTGATTGGACCGTACACATCTTCTCCCTCCAGAGTCACTGCTATGCCCCGCCCCCTTTGTAGTCTGCGCTCCAATCACAGTTGAGCTTCCTCCTTCCCTGTACGTCACTGTTGTGTTGACGTTATATATATACGTCATTACCGACTGATGACGAGCAGTTAGTTAGTTTTAGGTACCATTAATGACGTCAGATGATCTTTTACACATAATTCACAATCTTAGCATATAGCATATAGCTTATCTAAAGTCACCGTTATTGAACGAAGAAGAACGGTGACGTCTTTAAATGTGTTGTTTACTTTAACAATGAACACAAACAACTTATTTTAACAACAACAGGAGAAAAAACAAATACAACAACAATATCACAAACTTATAAAAGTGACAGAGGTTAAGTTATTGGAGGTTTACAAACACAAATATAACATTATAAACACTTTGTTTATCATTATTTATTTTAATTTAATTCAGTTTAACGTCACGTCCTCCTCGAGCGTCCAGGAAGCTACTATCAGGAGCTAACGAGGAGCTAACGGGGAGCTAACGAGGAGCTAACGGGGAGCTAACGGGGAGCTAACGGGGAGCTAACTTTAGCTAACACGTCCTCGTTCATTACCGACTGACTCTCCGGTGTCCGCGCGCACAGGAACCGGTATTTACCTGTCGTTAAGGTGAGATTAAAGTCCTGTTGTTGTCCACGTGCGTCCGCGGCTGCTGAGAGCGTCACTGCGGTATGATTCAAATCGCTTCCGGTTTCAAAATAAAGGTCTCAGTAGTTTCTTCACCGGTTTTGGACGAGTTGAAGGAGAAAGCGTGCCGTCGGTTTAACCACACAGGTTTGAGACCGGCGTCTGCTGTGGTGTATTGTTGTCCTGCGTCCAGTTAGGCAATGTGTGTGACCCAAGGGTTCTAATCCTACTCTTATTTTGAAGGTACACATACTAACTTCCTGTTTTAGCGGAAGTTCTAATGTTTTTATTCCCTCTTTATCACAATAACGATTATTTACATGTTTACAAACTGAAAACAAATAAACGAGTTCAGTCAAAGAAAAAGGGAATAAATAAAAATAATAATAAAATACAGGAAGTGCTGAAGGTTAGCTTTACACAACAACGTCTCTGTCATGCGCAGTGCGGCCCTCTTTTTATTTTGAAATGATTATTTATTTATTATCTTCTCCAATAAATATATTTCTTTATTTAGTTGTTGTTGTGTTTGCTCTCTGACTTTGTTTACTGTTTACAGAGGTAGACCTACTGGTACAGTAGATTCAATCTGAAATATATAATTATTGATCATATTAGTGCCGATCAGTTCATCTCTTAATAGGATTCTTTTTCTGACAGACTGAGTGTTTTCCTGTCCCTGATGTTGGGCCGTTGTTCTGTCAGACTTTAGACAAAAAGATGTATTGTTATTATTATTATTATTATTGTTGTTGTTATTATTATTATATATATAATAATATTTTAATAATATATTGGATTAATAATGTCAGATGTGTGCCAGTAGAGGTCGCTGTTAGCACAGGAACTGAGATACAGTGATTCACATTGTGCTCCTTCACTTCATTCGTTCATTAATAATACTAATAAATACTAATAAATAATAATAAGACTCCGGATTCAGGTTTAATTTGTATGTATGATTCAATATCTGATTGTACAAATACATCACAAACATTACTGTGGCACATTAGTGAAGCATTAAAGCTCCTATTGGAAACTATTATTAATATTAATGGTTTTATTTTGAAATCTTTAGACATTTGTCTAAATTCAGTCTTTTTTTATTGAATTTAATCACATAATAATCTAATAATTAATGTTCAATGTGATCAACAAACCGGAGTCTTTGTCCCTTTTGTCTTTCTGTTTACCACACACACACACACACACACACACACACACACACACACACACACACACACACACACACACACACACACACACACACACACACACACACACACACACACACACACACACACACACACACACACACACACACACACACACACTCACACACACACACACACACACACACACACACACACACACACACACACACACACACACACACACACACACACACACACACACACACACACACACACACACACACACACACACACACACTCACACACACACACACACACACACACACTCACACTCACACACACACACACACACACACACACACACACACACACACACACACACACACTCACACACACACACACACACACTCACACACACACACACACACTCACACTCACACACACACACACACACACACACACACACACACACACACACACACACACACACACAGGAGAAAGGAGGAGGAGTTTATTCCGGTTGCCAGGAGATCCGGTGAGGAGCTCCGTCAAATTGGATTTATTAAAACCGGAACATGAATAAACTGTCCTTCAAAATAAAATGAAATATAAACCTTAAAGAGAAAAGACAGTGGGCAAACGGGGCCTTTATTCTGAAAGGTCGCAGCGGAAGCGGAGCTGCGGCCGGTGACCGGCAGTGAACGGTGAACGGTCCGGATCCAAACACGCTCTCAGTCAGTCGGTCGGTCGGTCGGAGGATTAACGCTCAGCAGGAGGAGGAAGAGGAGGAAGAGGAGGAGAGCTGCTCCACCTTCATCGGAACTACCTGCTTCATCTCCCGCTGCCTCCAACCCCTCCTCATCATCCCCCATTCCCCCAGAGAGAGAGAGAGAGAGAGAGGCCCGCTGGTCCACGGCAACAGGTCGAGCAGGATCCGGATAATAACCACTGTTAATAACAATAATAACAATAACAACAACAATAACAACAACAACAACAATAAACCGGGTGATGAGCAGCGGACTCTCAGCAGCAGCGGATGGTCGACAGAGAGGAAACTGCCAGCATGATGCCGGTGAGTGCTTCATTCTGCCCCTACACATTATTACCTCCGTACAGGGGCAGTTACCTCCATACAGGGGCAGTTACCTCCATACAGGGGCAGTTACCTCCATACAGGGGCAGTTACCTCCGTACAGGGGCAGTTACCTCCATACAGGGGCAGTTACCTCCATACAGGGGCAGTTACCTCCATACAGGGGCAGTTACCTCCATACAGGGGCAGTTACCTCCATACAGGGCAGTTACCTCAGTACAGGGGCAGTTACCTCCGTACAGGGGCAGTTACCTGTCATACAGGGGCAGTTACCTCCATACAGGGGCAGTTACCTCCATACAGGGGCAGTTACCTCCGTACAGGGGCAGTTACCTCCGTACAGGGGCAGTTACCTGTCATACAGGGGCAGTTACCTCCGTACAGGGGCAGTAACCTCCATACAGGGGCAGTTACCTCCATACAGGAGCAGTTACCTCAGTACAGGGGCAGTTACCTCCGTACAGGGGCAGTTAACTCCATACAGGGGCAGTTACCTCCATACAGGGGCAGTTACCTGCACACAGGGGCAGTTACCTCCGTACAGGGGCAGTTACCTGTCATACAGGGGCAGTTACCACCGTACAGGGGCAGTTACCTCCATACAGGGGCAGTTACCTCCATACAGGGGCAGTTACCTCCATACAGGGACAGTTACCTGTCATACAGGGGCAGTTACCTCCATACAGGGGCAGTTACCTCCGTACAGGGGCAGTTACCTCTGTACAGGGGCAGTTACCTCCGTACAGGGGCAGTTACCTGTCATACAGGGGCAGTTACCTCCATACAGGGGCAGTTACCTGTCATACAGGGGCAGTTACCTCCGTACAGGGGCAGTTACCTCCGTACAGGGGCAGTTACCTGTCATACAGGGGCAGTTACCTCCGTACAGGGGCAGTTACCTCCGTACAGGGGCAGTTACCACCGTACAGGGGCAGTTACCTCCGTACAGGGGCAGTTACCTCCGTACAGGGGCAGTTACCACCGTACAGGGGCAGTTACCTCCATACAGGGGCAGTTACCTGCATACAGGGGCAGTTACCTCCATACAGGGGCAGTTAAGAACAACTGCCCCTCATTATACGTGGTACTAACAGTCATTAGGGAGATGTTAATGACGTCTACCTGCTGGAGTTCAGCTCATTTATAGAATCATTTAAATTAAAAAGGTAATATTAGTAACAGCTAACAGCTTCAGTATTATATCCTCTAATGTTTGTCTTTTTAATGTTTAAATATATTTACAGTGTAAAACAATGAGCTATAAATACAGATAATCTACATTTACAGCAGAGTGCTGTTATTATTGGATTGTTATTATTTTAATATTATATATATAATAACAGTATTAAACTGATTAAATAAACAGTAATTTTATGATTATTTATGTTATTTTAAATTCACAGGTTATTTTTGATATATTTCCACGTATTAAAAAAGAAAAATAAACAGGATAACCCCGTAAACGTACTGATTGTTTTTACAGTGATTGTGATAATTGTGTATAATAGATTACATTAACTGGAACATAATGTGACAGCATTATAGAACGGATCCCTACAGAGACACACCTTTCTATCACCTCTCTCTCCACCAGACTCCAGAGACACAAACACTCATTGTACCTCCACAGCACTAACTCCTCTATATCTTTATCTTTAATGTTCTAAACCTTCATAACCTTCATTTAGAACAGGGAAATATCTGAGACAGGAAACGGTCTTCACCCTAACCCATGGACTCAAGATTCAAGAAGCTTTATTTACCCTGAGGGAAATTACTGTGCAACAGTTTCAATACAAAGGTGGTAAAGTAAAGTACTACAGGGTTAGAGTAAAAATAAGCTACCATAAAATTAAATTAAATAAGATTAAATTAAAATAAAGGCCAACATAAAATAAATCAAACAATAACTAAATGCAACAGAATGTAAGCACTTACAGGTAACATAAGTAGAAAAGAAGAAAACAAGTGACTAAATGTGACAAAATGCAACAATAATTGCAGTTAAACGTAGATACAGTTTATACAATATACAACAATACGCACCGTGCAGTTTAGCAGCATAAACTGAAATAAAATAAGTACAAACTAAATAAGTGATAAGGAGCGATAGATAAAGTGGTAACAGTGGTCACTGTGGTTTATACGGTTCTGGTTCTTCCTCGCCACACTTTGATTAAGGTGTTTGGTTCTGGTGGATCAGAGTGACGTCCCGCTCTCTGTCCTTCACATAAATATAGATATATAGATATAAATATAGATATATAGATATAAATATATAGATATAAATATAGATATATAGATATAAATATAGATATCGATATATAGATTCATGTTTTAGAGGGGTTTTAATATTATTGCATTAGGGACTATTTTACACCGGCGCATTAATGCACATCTGGTGCTCTAGTAGTAAGTATTTGGGGCAGTAGTACTTGGGGCAGCGGTATTTGGGGCAGCGGTACTTGGGGCAGTAGTACTTGGGGGAGTAGTACTTGGGGCAGTAGTATTTGGGGGAGTAGTATTTGGGGGAGTAGTATTTGGGGCAGCAGTACTTGGGGCAGGCTAACCCTAACCCTTTTAATAGTTGTTGAACCCAGTGGAGCTTCATCAGAGGAAGAAGATACACAACCTGTTAGTGGATGCGTTCGCTGTCGGAGTCTGAATGGGATTTGTTGCCAGTAAGAAAAATGTAGAATCTCCTCAGGCTGATCCTTTAAGCCCCGACCGCAGTCACGGAGGGCAGCGAGCAGCCAAACACTGGAAGGGGAAGACAGAAGGAAGTCAGTCGACTGTGAAACATCTTAAAGTCCGACCTGGTGATGTTCAGCGTTAAAATACCCCAGATTTCCTGACAAACACTTGACATAAAGGTTTCTGTCAGTCAGTGAATCTACAGCTCGTGGTTGCATCGCCACAACACTGCAGTAAAGCTGTGGGTTAACCAGCGTAACTGTTCCCTTCAGGGACCTTTTACTATCATTAAACTGACTCAGTGACATATTTTATGGATATTTCATATTATATAAAACAGTGAACTCAGTAACTGCAGGAAGTTTGTGTTTAGGGAACTTTTTCTACAATTCTCTGTCTGTATTCTGTATGAATGCAACCCGAACTGTGAGATCTGTTTGTATTCATCGCAGTCGCTGTAACATCAGTTTACACAATTAATCAAATATTAATCTTAACTGTGTACTCCGCTCATAAAAAAACTGCTGCATTACATTAAATCAGGCGCTTCCTAAATGCTCAGCCAGGTGATGAAGATATTTTGGCCCCCTAGTGGCAGGGATGACCGACTGTACCTTTAAATGTAAATGAGAGTGAATGTGAGCGAGTGGTTTTCAGTCGTTGTTCCCCTTCGACGCTCAGCGATAATGGAGACGAGAACTTGGCGAGAAGGAGGAAGGTCCGTTTGAGGAACCAGTGAGCTGAACTTCTCTTTACCTCATTGTTATTCAAACGGCGTGCAGCGACCATGAGACGGCCGCCGTGTGCGAGCTAAGGCTGAGTCCGGTGCCGGTCCGTCAGTGTGAGCCCGGTTTCACTCAATATTTCACACAAGCTTCCTTTAAAGCGCACCCTGATCTTCACACTGCGTCCCCGGCGTCTCGCAGTCAGGGCTCAGTGGAGCTCGCCGTGCTGCTTGGTAACGGTTGCCACAGAGACCAGAACACACACACACACACACACACACACACACACACACACCGTTCAAGGTCATGTGGGAACGGCATTGTTTTCGATGAGGAAGTGCAGCTGGGAAGTTGTAACCTTCGTGTTGGTTCACTGACGGCGTATCACGAGCCAGCTGCACTCACTGATCTCACAGCAGTTATTTTAATAATCAATTCATTGTGAATAGTTTTTATTGTACGTCAGCTGTTTTCACAGGTAATGTAATAATTTGCTTTGGTGGTAATATTTGTATAAAGGGTTAAGTCTTATTTAATTCAGATAAATTCTGTTCACACATTTCAAATAAGTTTGGACACAATATACTAGTTTAGAGTTCAATTTAACCAAAGTTACCTTCACTTACTTTATTAAAGTAAACATGAATTCATCAAAAACTGAGTAACATTAACTGTAAAAGTCTTTTTTAAACCTTTTTTACAAACTTCTACCACAGCCACGAACACTGTTGACAAATACTGGCACTTCCTGTGGCTGTTTCACAATAAAAGCCACCCCATGGTTTCCCATTTAGAAACAATAGTCCAACAATTAGAGCTAATCAGTGAGCGGATAATAATGTGTGACTGATCTCAATATAAGTTAAACATACAGCCGGCAGCCAATCAGAAAGCAGTCCTTGTCTCAGAGCTCAGTGTCAACAACAGTTCAGTGTGTGTGTGTGTGTGTGTGTGTGTCGTTAATCCAATATTGGTGCGTCACGTGATGCTGTCGACCATATGGCTCCAGCCGGCCGTGCCGCCTACAAAACATTTGGGATGTGACCTGCAGCGAGCCAGCTGCCACCTCGTCCCCGAGCAGAAATAGAACAGACGCATTCATTCATTCATGCGTTCATCGCTCCAACAGTGGAAGTCATATTTAAAGCTTTAGTTCTGATCCAACATTAACCCTTTCACACTGTCTCTCTGGTTTATTGTTTGTTTATTTGTTAGGATCCCATCAGCTGTGGTCTTATATATATACATTAAACCTTAAAGTCCACATAGATCAACTATTAAAATACATAATATCAATAAAAACAACCTCATCAACAACAAGGCTTAAAAAAATATATGCAGTTAAACACAATCGATCAAATCCTGATAACCTAATCAATCAATGTCCAGATGTGGTTGATCTGTTTGTTATTGGTCATGAGAATCAGCTCATTATCAGATATCGTGCATCCAGACAACATTACCGTAATACTCTGGCCTGAGATGGACCGCCTCCTCTGGTGAGCACACCCACCACTCAGGTGATGCTCCAGAACCTCCTGAACCTCCTGAACCTCCAGAACCTCCAGAACCTCCAGAACCTCCAGAACCTCCAGAACCTCCTCCAGAACCTCCTGAACCTCCTGAACCTCCAGAACCTCCAGAACCTCCTGAAGCTCCAGAACCTCCAGAACCTCCTAAACCTCCAGAACCTCCAGAACCTACAGAACCTTCAGAACCTCCTGACCCTCCAGAACCTCCAGAACCTCCTGACCCTCCAGAACCTCCTGAACCTCCAGAACCTCCTGAACCTCCTGAACCTCCTGAACCTACAGAACCTCCAGAACCTCCTGAACCTCCTGAACCTCCAGAACCTCCTGAACCTCC